AGGTTATCCTGTCATCTCTTTGTGGCGATTTCTTACACAGTCCGGTCATATATCTGCGAATCGTGTCTTCCCATGTCAAGTCTGCTGTGATTGATTGTTGTTGAGATCCTCAGGGTCAGGCTTTGTCCTTTCTTTTTCTCATGACCCGGATTCGGGACGTAAACATTGACGTAGACTGTTGTTTACAATTTCGCCTTGTAGACAGTTCTCATCACAATAGTACCTGTCATATCAATCCAATATCAAATTTTGGAGGTGTTATTTAATCCAAACTTCAGTAATACTACCGTATATGTCACTTCTTTGGGTAATACAATAATAATAATAATAATAATAATAATAATGGTCACTTCACTCCAAACAATAATTTTATACAGAGTAGAATTTTCATCTTATCATATTCCAGCAAATACATCCCGTTTGCATATCGAATAAACAAAAGAAATAAACACGAAATCTGGAATAATTATTTAATTTATATTTGTGTGCTTCATTACTCGTTGCCATCCACGATGATATCTCTTGTACAATCAACTGGAGAGATTCAAGTTGATAGGCTGAAATGTTGTTAAAATGCCCGGGTGAAAATAAATCTATTCATGGAAATGTTTGATTGATTGAAAGAAAAACAAATGTAGTCATTTCAGACAATATGTGTTTGAAGGAACAAGGTATTGGGTAGCCGAGAAACTTACTAGGCCTTCTAACAACCAATGAAGATTCCTCTTCTTATTATTCCCTTGCGTTCCGAGTGCAAACCAACGATTCAATAACACATGTCGACTTCTTCCTATTCTCTGAGTTCCTCTCTAGCTGGCCCCATGATCACCCATGGGCTTCCATTCACTCCTCACACCATCTCCTCCACGTCACCCTCGGATATGTGTTTAACTGGTTTTTTCGCATTCAGGCTCCACTCCAACGATAACCTGGTGTTCGAAACCACCCAACGGTCTCCTCAGCGTGTATCCCATCCACCTTCATTTTCCTCTTAATATTTTTTTGGGGATTTAGCTTCTTCATTCGTTCTTTCCCACAGTTCTTTAGAGAGCCAGTGAAGGCAGTTACTGATAAGAGTCTACAACAAATTGTTGGAAATGCTTTCCATGGCGGAGGCGAAAAAATTTAGAAACACATAGATTTGGTTAAATTGGCATTGGTGTTAAAGAGATACGAATTCAGTTGTTCGTGTTGAGTGGGGCAGATTTGCAAACTGAATTTTGAGTGATGAATGTCTGTCTTGCCTTGGAGCCTGAATGCGAAACAACCAGTTGGTCACGTATCCGAGGGTGACGTTGAGGAGATCGTGTGAGGTGGGAACGAAAGCCTATGGGTGATTATTTGGCCAGCTAGAGAGGAACTCGGAGAATATGACGACGTGGATATGTGCTATCGAATCGTTATGATGTACTCTGAAGCCAAATTAACAACAATAATAAGTAAGAATATTACTGAGGTTATAAACCTGAAATAGTAACATTTGGTCGGTTTGGGTTGTGGTTATTGGGAAAATGTGCCGAATGGTATTGACCGCAGACATGTAACCTGATCGATACTTTTGTATAAATGGATGAAATAATCAATATGTCCAGACGTGTCAATGGTGTTGTTTGTTGTTGTTGTTGTTAGTGTGAAATAATTTGAGAGTTTATTCATTGTGGTGTTTGGTCAGGAAATGACTTCGTTTTACCAAGTGAATTAACATGTGGGTACAAAGATATTGAAGTTGGTCAGGCTCTCTACAATTTCGAAAAGGCTAACTATCGAATTGGGGTTGATATGGTCGATAGAGGTAATATTATTTGGGTTTGTGTGGTCGGCGTTAGTAATGATTTTGTGACTGAGGCTCGATACTGGAAGGCACATGAAGAGCGACAGCCAAGACAGCCTAATTAAATACTCACAGGAAATGAATTGGTCCGACTCGGTGAAACCAATAAATACCAAATTTTATCGACGTTATCGAACTCTGAGAACAGGTTTCTTATAGCCCTAGTCAGTCTGGCGATGGAAACAGGACCACTTAACGAGTAATTATCCGGCCGGTCACACATATGTAATCATTTGGTATTTTATTATCTCCTTGGGTATCAGGTAGTACATAGGGCTTCTATAGAAAAGCTTCATTATATCCCACTCTCTGGAGTCAAAGGAACACCCATGGGATCGCCAATATCAGGTTTGATTGCAGAAGCAGTGCATTGATGCAAAGACTCGAAAACATAATTCTACCAACGACCAAACCCAAGATTTGGATACGCTACGCTACGTCGACGACACATTTGTAATAATCAGAAGGAACGAGTTAGATAAAACTCACAACTTAATAAACAACGTCTTCAACGACATCAAATTCACAAGAGAAGATGAATCCGAGGACCAAATCCCATTTTTGGACGTCTTAGCCATGCGAACAGCCACAGGGGAATTAGAAACTCACGTTTATAGGAAATCAACTCACACAGACCAAATCCTGAATTACAACAGCAACAATCCAATAACACACAAAGGGAATTGCATACAAACACTATGCAAAAGGGCCAGCCAGGACTCATTTCAGCACTCCCACCTTAAGGAAAACTGAAGAAAAATATCTCATGGACATCTTTCAAAAGAATGGATATCCACGGAACTTCATCAGAAGTCATATACCCCCAAGCCAACCTATCAAACCAAAAGCCTCCAAAGAAAGCACAAAGAAAATCGCCTTACCATATATAAAGGATATCTCAAAAATCACTACAAGACTCTTCAAACCTTAAGGAATTGACGTCGTACACAAACCAGTTCTATGTCAACCAAAAGAATCAACAGCGAAGGAAGATTAAACCAATGTCATCCACAAAATAAATTGTAACAACTGCGAAAACCACTACATTGGCCAAAGTGAGTGACGTCCCCTTCGTCTTTGTATCCACGAACATAAGCTGGCCGTCAAAAGACATGATATCCACTCCCACGCTCATATCACTACACACAGACAACCAGGGACATCAATTCGACTGGGACAACCAGTGTTCAAATATTACACAGAGGAAACAACAAGAATGCTAGCCAGAGAATTCTTACAAGCCTGCGTGGTATTCCAGTGAATCATCAATCAATAGACACATCGAGATAGACAAAATTTATCAACCGATAAGAAAGAAACCACACACACACACACAAAAAAGGTCAAAGTTCAAGTCAAAGAAACAATCAGTTCCAATACAAGTAACTGTCTAGAAGGTGTGAAAACACACAAAAACAACCAATTACGTTCAAGGTCACCCACCAGGAGAGATGATTAATAAACTCGCGGAGAAATCTAAAAGCTCACTTCAACAGATTGAAGTATGCGCTGAGGTGAGGATGTTGCCTAGTAGGGCGATAAAAGCTTCTCAAATGAACCATCCAACTCAGACAACACAACCACATCAATATCATGACACATTTTTAGGAAAATGATGAATATCATCTCTCGAAATTTGTCTTCTTAACGCTTCATTCAAATATATCAAAGGGACTAATTGTTTTAATATTGAAATATAATTATTCTTTATTCGATCTAATCCACAATTCTCAAACATTTTACAAGCATCATGAAAAAACTTCTACATCTCGTTTTCCACCAATCATGAAGTAGACATGAATAAATCAATGAGACATTGAATGAATGAGTCAATGAGCGAATTAAAAAATTGAAGAAATCATGCAGACAACAGACACACACACACGCACCCAGGCAGGCAGACAGACAAAATGGCAGAGAGAAAGCAGAGAGCATTGATATAAACTGCGTGAATGCATGCATATGCCTCCTTGAATTAAAACACACTAGTGAACATCCATGAACAAACAAAACATAGGCTGAAACAAAACAACAACAATTGAGAAATGCTTCATTCCAAAATCCTGTCTGGACCTCAATCACCACCTCACAGCAGAAGAAAACAAAGCCAACATGTCTAGCCAACACTCGTGTGTGTGTGTGCTGTGCATCCTGTGACGAAAATCACCTTTACATCATCCAATGACAACCCTTCCATATACATACACCTATGATAAGCAGTTAGACACTGTCTTCCTTTTATATCATATCATCATCATCATCATCATATATACACGACACGTAGAAATATACCAGAGAAATACACTGACCGAGAATAACACCACGACTTGCTGACATACTGAAACAAATTACGGAATATCTCCAAAACCGCTGGATTATTATTATTATCAATATTATTATTACTACTATTATAGTCATTGATAATGGCCAATACATCTCCGACACAGAATGATGAAGCAATCAAAGAACAAGCGAAGCCAATCACACCGATGGGATACACAAAAGACGAGATGAGAGAATTCACACAACTACTAGTCAAATACAAGAATATGTTGACGGACAAAGAAAAAAGTCGGCCATCAATGCTGATGAAGAAACACATGTGGATGCAATTCTCAGAATATCTCCACTCGAAGGGTTATCCCAGACGACACTGGACTCGACTTCGTCATAAGGGACAAAAAATCCTGAGAGAGCTGAATCACACCATGACAGACAGACAAGACAGATTGTGTCGCGATATTCCGAAGTCTTCTGAATCCGCCTCTATTCATCAAGTGGTGGTCAGTGTCAATGGAGATTCCCATGTGAGTGGTCAGTGTACTCCAGTATGTTCACATTCCATTATGACGTGTTAATCCTATTGAATGAAGGTAGGTAGCGTTGTCTCGAGTCTTCGTCAACCGAGTCTTCCGTTACTGACTCCCTCACCATGTGTTCGGATATCACCGGGACCCCACATTAATTCGACGCCTTCTACATTCTCCACTCACACAAGTCCCTCAAACACGATGGGTTTGAGAATTTTGAACGTCTACTCAATAGCTCCTATTCCCCAAGATTTGTGTGTTCCATACGACTCAGCGGAGAAGACTGTGAAGAGTGGGAATAAGAGCGACGAGTTGACTAATGGAGTTCGAGGACACAGTGGAGTGAATGAATCTGTGAGTGTTTCGAATGGTGGTGAGGTGAAGGGTTGTCGTGTTGGCGATGTTGGAGTTTGTGAACCAAGGTGTGTTGGAGGAGGTGGTTCTGGCGAGAGTGAGACTATTGACTTGTCGGTGTCGAGTGATGAGGAGAGTGTGGAGGAGATGGATGTGAATGGAGTTGGTGATGGGGGAGTGGGGACTGGCGATGCAAGTGACCGGGGTTATAGGTGAGCGATGATATTTGTAGTGTTAACTTGTCCGAGTGTCCTGTTCTGTGGTGTGTTGTGGTGGTCTTAGTTGGTCACTTCTCTTGATTCGAATGTGACTCAACCATTGTGTGTAGGTGAGTGTGTTTGATTTAATTTAGCAATGATAGTCTGGGAATAGATCGAAACTCACGTGTGTATAATTTCACCTTTCTACTTGATATTTGTTATTTATTATTACTTAATGTAAGTGATTGTTGTTGTTGCTGATGTTGTTGTGGGTGTATGCGTGTATGTGTTCGTGTGTGAGTGTGCGTGTTGGCGTGTGTAAATGTGGGGTTGTGATGGTGTCAGGAGTGACGAGGTGGATGATTGTGACTGAGGATGAAGGCGACACATTGAATGAAAGAATGTGTATGTGGAGAGGTGAAGAGAATCATGATGGCGTATTGATCGTAAACCAGTTGTACAATAACGAGATGTGTTTCGGTGATTTGAGTTGTAAAATGTGCAGTAACGTAACGCTTCCTGTGTATTTGGAGTGTTAATTGAGAAGAGAGGTGAGCAGTTGTTGTTGGTGTTGTCAATTAGTAAGGCGATGCGAGAAGAACACACGAAGTGTTGTGGAGTCGCTTGTTGGTTTTTCGATTGTCACTATTCACCAATGCTTTGCATATTTAGATATGTGTTATCTATCTATTTATTAACTAATTAATTTATTCATTGGTGTGTGATTTCCCTGACGAGGCGAACAGTCAGAGGGTATTGCAGATGGAGAGACGGACACACAGAGAGTATCTTGAATATGATGTCTACGAGTGACAGATAATGAGGTGAAGGTGGAGAGTATGTTGGGGGGGGGTGGAAGGTGATTGTGAAGGCTGTGGAGCTAGCTTATTGTTGTCGGTGATTGTGGATAAGTTAATAGTAGATTTGATGTGTTAAGATGAGAGGGATTGAGCTGTGAGTGAGTGAGTGAGTGGGTGGGTAGGTGAGTGTTTCCAACTGTAGTTATGTAAGTGTTGTGGTGAATTTGATAACCTCTGATTCGTAGTTGGTTTATTTTGTGAGAAGTAAATAACAGAATCTTCTCCCTCCCCCGTCTAGATCTGATGATGATGTGGATGATGGTGAGAGAAGACGACGTTCGGCTTTGATGTTTGAGAAGCAGATGAGATATCTGGATTTGAAGATAGAAGTTCTGGAAATGAAGAAGCGATATTTGAGTGAGAAGATGAATTCGATGACGCCATCTTGAAGACAGACTGAGAAATTACACTCAAATGAGATACGCATAATTTTTATTCCTTTTGATATTTGTTAAATAAATTTTGATATGTATTCACTAATGATGTTTTGTGAGTGAGTGAGTGAGTGTGTTACTGTATCGTATGTTAGGCAAATAAGTTTCTGAGTAATCTTCATGTAATGTGAAATAACGTATGTGTACGTACCGATTTTGTTGACATCCGGTGGAGATTTTGTCTGTTTCTCCTGTCGAAGAAGTATTTGTTGAGATGATGGAGAGTGATGTAGGCGACTGATGTTCACTTACAGTCTAGGTGATGGCATTATATTGAAATACATTTCATATTCTCACGATCCTTCGGGTTATGACACACGGAATTGTTTGTTTGTGGGCGTGTGTGTGTGTGTGTTTGATTCTTGGTGATATTCAGTTGAATGAGAGAATGGATGGTTGGATGGGGTTAGGGAGGGATGGATTGATGATGTCTATATTCACTTGATAAGGCCGGCATCTTTGACTGTTCTGATTGTTCTCCATGTGATCGGAGTTGTTATAAGTATGAAAGTTGGTCAATGTGTGAGGGTATAACTCCTCTTATCTATAATAATGGAGTGAGTGATCAGAGTTGTATTTTGATGAATTGTATTCGGGGATGTGACTAGCCAGCCAGTTAGTTAATCAGGTTATGGTTGTCACATTTTCTGTTCAATTCATGTATCGTCGTCTATATTGTATCAAGTTTATTGTATCGTTGACGGAAACTCATATTTTCTCGACTGAGTGTTGGAGTGCCTGCGTGTCTGCCTCATTGTGATTTGTTATGACAGTGAGTCGCCTTTCATGAAGTTTGTTTTCTTATGGTGACTGAATACATTGATAGACAGACAGATAGAGGAGGAGAGAGAGAGAGACAGAATTCACACTGCTGGTGATGGCGATGTGGAGACTGTGACAACTGGAGCAAGAGATATTCACCTCGAAAATGAAATGATGAAACTAAGAAGTCTTTGATGACTATTTTTAAACAAAGAAGAAGGAAGGAATGCACGAAACGAGTGTAGAAGGTAGAGAGAGAGAGAGTGAGAAATCTCGGATGTGAAATGTAACTAATGCATGTCGAAAGGACACTGGAGGACGACTTGAAAATATATTCCCAAGCTATCCAATGATTATTTCAATGACATAAACTTTGTTTATGGTGAAATTACGTGGTTACTGTCTTTTTGTCTTTAGTGTTATGCGTACAATCGGCTAACTAGTCATTAAGTGGAGCACATCAAGTAATATAGAAATATTGTCTTCGTATTAATAAAGAAACCCAAGTATGTTTTGGATGGATTACAAATACTTGGGAAAAAAGTAAAGCTTGAAGTGTCATTCGCCCATATAACTTCGCTGTGTATGACATCGAATCTTATTCTTGATTTACATCCAAATTGGGAATGAATTCCAAATAAGTGATACACTTGTGTAATCTTGTCAGCATTTTCATCATAAGTAACACCAGAAGTGAATTGTACTCAATTCAGACTAGTAATAATAATAATAATAAAAATAGTTTATATTTTCTTATAAACAGGTGTTCACAAGATGCAAGTAAGCCATTTTTACAGTCACAATCAGTTATGTTATAAATTACAATCGTGAAGTATTATAAATCCATAATTTCCCATTGGTATAAAGGTATATTCGACAACTGTGATCCAGGATGCGTCGTGGGTGAAGGTGATGGGTAATTCACCAGGCAGTTGTAGGATATGGGACCAGTAATGTTTGCAGATCATTTGTCATTGTAAGTGGTCAACTATCTACATTCTCTATTCTCATTCAAAAAGTCATATAGAAGGTAAAATGTTGAGGGAGAGAGAAGAGAAAGAAGGAAGACAAACGACAGCAGCACAGAAGAAAGCAAGTGGAGGAGTCCTCAAGGAGGGATTTATAAATGTATATAAATATTCTGTGAAAGTAACTGATTATTTTGGTACACCAGCACTAGCTGACTAACTAGTCGTGTTATGCTAACTTTTATATTATGTGTGAACTAATATTAATGTCCTGTGTAGAAATATTTATCATGTCCTTCGAATAATATTAAGATTTATAATTGTAGTTTTCGATAACTTATACGTTTAATGAACTTAAAATATTTTTGATGTGGTTTTGTTCTCTGAGCTGGATTGTTAGTTTGCGAAGCTTTCATCACCTTACTGGGTGACATCTTCAGCGCATACTTCAAATTGAAGTGAGCTTTTAGGTTTCTCCACGAGTTTATTAATCATTCCTCCTGGTGACCTTGGACGTGATTGGTTGTTTATGTATGTTTTCACGCCTTCTAGGTTATTTGTGTTGGAACTGATTGTTTCTGTGACTTGAACTTTGGCCAATCGTGTGTGAAGTTTCTTTCTTATTGGTTGATAAATTTTGTCTATCTCGATGTGTCTATTGATTGATGATTCACTGGAATGCCAAGCTTCTAAAAATTCTCTAGCATTCTTGTTATTTCCTTTGTCTAATATTTGAACGTTGTCCCAGTCGAATTGATGTCCGTGGTTGTCTGTGTGTAGTGAAATGAGGGAGTGTATATCATGTCTTTTGACGGCTAGCTTATGTTCGTGGATACGAAGACGAAGGGGACGTCCACTTTGGCCAATGTAGTGTTTTTCACAGTTGTTACAGTTTATTTGTAGATGATGTTGGTTTTGTCTTCTTTTGCTGTTGAATCTTTTGGTTGACATAGAATTGAGTGCAGCGACTTTGTTGGTTTGTGTACGACGTCAATTCCTAAAGGTTTACAGAGTCTTTTAGTGATTTCTGAGATATCCTTTATATATGGTAAGGCGACTTTCTTTGTGTTTTCCTTGGTGGCTTTTGTTTTGGTAGGTTGGCTTGGGGGTATATGTCTCTTGATGAAATTCCGGGGATATCCATTCTTTTGGAAGACGTCCATGAGATACTTTTCTTCAATTTTTTTAAGGTGGGAGTGCTGCAGTGAGTCCTTGCTCTCTTGAATAGTGTTTGTATGCAGTTCTTTTTGTGTGCTATTGGGTTGTTGCTGTTGTAATTCAGTATTTGGTCTGTGTGAGTTGATTTCCTATAAACTTGAGTTTCTAATTCTCCTGTAGTTGTTCGCCTGACTAAGACGTCCAAAAATGGTATTTTGTTCTCGGATTCCTCTTCTCTTGTGAATTTGATGTCGTTGAAGACGTTGTTTATTAAGTTGTGAGTTTTGTCTAATTCGTTTCTTTTGATTATTACAATGTGTCATCGACGTAGCGTAGCGTATCCAAATCTTGGGTTTGGTCGTTGGTAGAATTATGTTTTCGAGTCTTTGCATCAATGCACTGCTTCTGCAATCAAACTGATATTGGCGATCCCATGGGTGTTCCTTTGACTTTTTCATATATTTGGCCGTTGAATTGGAAGTATGTTGTTAGGCATAGATTTATGCATTCCATCCAGCTTTTGTGTTGTATTTTGATTGTTGTGGAAGTTGTTCGTCGTTGCTAAGTAATTGCTCCATGGTTTCTTTTGCT